ATGTCATAGTCTTGTTGGACTGCTTATTCAAGCCCAGGGTTGAGTCCATCTCATTTAAAATTCTGTAGTAATTTCAAACTGCTGTTTAGCTTATGCCTTTTTGCATCATGTTTTAGTGGCTCTTCGAGGGCTATTTTTTAAGAGACACTTTGGATTTGTTTTTAAATTTTATTTTATTTGATTTTGGCTGAGCTGAGTCTTCATTGCTGCCCAGGCTTTTCTCCAGTTGTGGTGCTCAGGTTTCTCACTGTGGCGGCCTCTCCTGTTGCAGAGCATGGACCCTAGGGCCTGAGGGCTCAGTGGCTGTGGCTCCCAGGCTCCAGGGCACAAGCTAGTGGTTGTGGCACATGGGCTTAGAGGCTCTTCAGCATGTGGGATCCTCCCGGGTCAGGGATCGAACCAGTGACTCCTGCATTGGCAGGCGGATTCTTTACCACTGAGCCACCAGGGAAGCCCCTCAAAGGCTTTTAATACATATTTTCCACTCTCTTAACCAACACAAAGGAAACATTATACCGCTTAATATAAAGCACAGATTGCCACCATACGGGTCCAATAATCACACTTTATGCTACACCGTCCTTTATGCTGTATCCATCGTATGTATTATATCTACATGTATTTAAAAATCACAAGATAGTACCATACCTTTTGCTTTAAACAGTTATGTTTCTAAATAAATTAAGAGAAACAAACAAACAAACAATCTTTCAGGACTTTCCTGGTGGTCCAGTGGCTAAGACTCTGCACTCCCAATGCAGGGGACTCAGGATTCAATCCCGGGTCAGGGAACCATGTGTTGCAACTAAAAGATCCTGTGTGCCACAAATAAGATCTGGCACAGCCAAATAAATAAATTTTAAAAAAATAAATTAAAAAATGTTTATACTTACCTAAAGATTATTATTTCTGACACTCTTTAGTTCTTCCCAACTGGTATCTAACTGAGTTTCTAACTGGTATCATTTTCCTTCCATCTAAAGAACTTACATAAAGATTATTATTTCTGACACTCTTCAGTTCTTCCCAACTGGTATCTAACTGAGTTTCTAACTGGTATCATTTTCCTTCCATCTAAAGAACTTACATAAAAATTATTATTTCTGACACTCTTCAGTTCTTCCCAACTGGTATCTAACTGAGTTTCTAACTGGTATGATTTCTTCCATCTAAAGAACTTACTTTAACATTTCTTAAAATGCAGGACTATTGCAACACCCTCTTTTAGTTTTTTAAGTCTAAAAATATCTATTTTTCCCACATACTTGAGGGATAGTTTCACTGTATTTAGAAATCTGGGTTGACCATTTTTTTCTTTTCAGTTCTTCCAATATACTGTTCCACTGTCTTCTGGTGTCCATAATGTCTATTGAGAAGTTAGTGATGATTCATATGCCTCCTGTAATATGTTCTTATTTTGTTTTTTTATCTTTTGGCTGTGCTGTGTGGCATGTGGGATCTTAGATCCCTGATCAGGGATTAAACCTGCACCCCCTGTATTGGCAGTATAGAGTCTTAACCGCTGGGCCACCAGGGAAGTCCCTGTAATGTGTTCTTTTGATCTGGCTCCTTTCACAGATTTCTCCTTATCTTTAGTTTTCAGTTGTTTGACTATGATGTGCCTACGTGTGGATTTCCTTGTATTTGTCTTGCTGAGCTTCATGGTTTTCATGCTGTTTATTTTTCACCAAAGTGAGAAATGTGGGGCTTTATTTCTTCAAACTTTTTTCTACCCCATTCTCTCACTTCTTCTGTCATTCTAAGTATGTATTGGTTGGACCTTTGGACACTGTCCCACAGATCCTTGAAGCTCTTTTCTTTTTCAATCTTTTTCTCTCTGTTTTTCAGATCAAATAATCTCTATTGTGACAACTTAAGGTTTCTTCTGTTATCCCCTTTTTGCCATTAATCCAATCCAAAGACTTTTAAATTTTCATACATTGTAATTTTCACTTTGATCATTTCCATTTGGTAATTTTGAGTAGTTTCTGTTTTTCTGCTGAAAGTTTCTATTTTTTTATTTTCATGAGCATGTTTTCCTTGGCACCCTTTATGTCTATTTCATTCATGGTTAGAGTCACTGATTTAACAAATCCTTGTCTTAGGACTTCCCTGGCAGCCCAGTGGTTTAAGATACCGCTTTTCAATGCATGGGGTACAAATTCAATCTCCGGTCAGGGAGAATTGCCTCAGGGCCCAAAAAACCACATGCCTTGGGGCCCAAAAGAACAAAACATAAAACAGAAGCAATATTGTACCAAAGTCAGTAAAGACTTGAAAAACAGAAAGATTTTAAAAAGTAAAAATAAAAAGATTAAAAAAAAATCCTTGTCTGCTAATTTCAACATCTGGGTCATCTGGGGGTCAATTTCCATTGATTGTCCTTTTCTCCTGAGAATGGGTCCCTTTTTCCTATCCCTTTATAGTCAGGTAATTTTGGATATGTACTGCCCATCACAATATGTGGTAAATGAAGGAAAGTTACACGGCTCAAAATAGCCTGGAGTTAAACTCCCCTCTGGGTCCTCCCCACCATTCTATGCAAAACAAAGGACTCTCTCACCTGAAGAAAACAAATGGACATTAAGGTTGATTACACCCAGTCCCAGCCAATCCCACCCTTTGGCTGATCTCCAGAATTCCTTGCCCCAGCCGTTTAAGAGATAACTACTCCGAACAACCTTGGAGAAGAACAGGCCCCCTTAAGACAGTAGATTTCCACATATATGCCTGTATATACTTGCTCTTTTCCTGGGTTAATGCAGCAGCTCACTAATCTGACTGTTGCCCCTTCTTGCCTCATTAAAGGTGATCTGTTCTTGTAAAGTGTTTTTCTCGTTCTTTTCCTGAACCTCACCTTCTCTAACTGCATACCCAACAGTAAACACTCTGGATTGTGTTATAATCTGAACAGGGTTAATTCTGTTGTTGCTGCTGTTTCAGAAGGCTCCTATCTCTCCCGCCTTCAACACAACCCCCATGGTCGGTTACAACTCAAGTTTCAGCTCAGTTCCTTTAGCCTTAGTTGAGCTGTTTGGAGTCGCCCGTGAATGCATGAATGAACAAGAACTTGAATGAGCCGTGAATGCAGGGTTCAGAGGTCAACCACACATTTGGACAGTTTATACCCAGAATTTGGAGCAGCTTCTCTCTATCTCTCTCCTTCTTGGAATTTCTATTCCCACTTTCTAGCAACTATTGTTATCTCAAATTTTGTCCTCTGGTTATTCGGGGCAGTAAAACTTTTTTTTTTCCAAACAGAATTTTACTTGCCCACAGAGCACAAACTGAGACCTCCTTGAGCTAAACTAATGAGCTGGGAATTCACCAGTGATATTCTTGTCTTCCACATATTGACTCCTGTCCAGGGTCTGCCTGCTCTGAATGCTCCCCGGGGCCTTCAGGTAGTTGTTTTTTATACTTTCCTCTGCCTCCCACCTAGAGTTTATAGTTGTCATTGTGCTAGTGTTGGTCAGATAGGAACTCTCACCCATACTGGAAGTGGAAATCCCTATTTGTCTCATTGAAATGAACAATGCAAATGGTCCCATCTGAGAGATGGTAAAATGAGGCCAGGAAAGGAAACAAGGTCACAGTGTGTTTCTAGAAGAGCAATCAGCTATGATATAAAAAAGCGGGGGTTGAGGTTTTTCAGGGTAGAATCCTACAATAGACTGGCTTGTATGCAAAGCTTGTTTTCCTTGTTATTAATTGGGGATAATATTAGTATATAGTCATTTTTCATGAAGTGCTCATTAGGATCAGCACTAAGCCCCTTATACATACTATCTCTTTTAATCCTCAAGAAAACTTAATGAGATTGAATTACTTTTACTGGGAAATTTTTCAGAGGAAGGGACTGAGGTTTAATGAGGCTGAGCCCAAGGTGACACAATTGTTTACATGATTAATCAATAATCATAATGGCTCATGTTTATTGAATTCAAATTTATTGAATTATTATCAAGTTGCGGATGATGTGCTAGGTACTCTCTAGGGTTTATCTCACTTATTCCTCCCTACAACTCTAAGATGTAAATACTAGTATTATCACTCCATGTTTTTGTAACAGGGAAGAGTCGATTTTGACTCTTCCATGCAAGATCTCTTTAGCTGCTTTTGTTATCATAATGACACATAATGGCCTGCTTCAGAGAATCCTGCCCCTCTGCCTGTTAAATTAAAATGCTTTTGTTCAGAACCCTGTCTACCTGTAGATGGCAGGAAGGAAAAAATTAACACATCTTCCTGCCTGAAGCTTGCCCTTCTGGGAGATACTTACAAGATTAAACGGCCTCTTTACTTTGTTTCCTCACCTCCCTGCCATCTCTGATACATAAAAGTACCTGGCATCCAGACCCGGACAAGTTGGTTATTTTGAGTCGTTAGTCTGCCATCTTCTTGGTCAGGCTTTCGGAATAAAGCCTTATTTATTCATTGCCTCAACACCTCGCCTCTTGAATTCGCTGGCCTGTCCTGCCATGAGCAGAGTGAGCTTGGACTCGGTATCATTTTTCAGATGGAGAAATGGCGGCAAGGAGAGGCTAAGTAACTTGCAAAAACCAAGTAACTGGGGATTTGAACCCAGCAGACTGGCTCCAAACCCAACTGCTTAATTGCTATGCCCCAGTGCCTTCTTGTTATGATGCAACATCCGAGAAAGCCTATCACCTTATAGGTCCTCAAAGAGGCAAGCCTTGTTCCTCTTAGTAAATACTGGATTGGGTCTAAAGGAATCCACAAAGCCGTGAGCTTCTTTGGCATACACACACACGTGGTATGCACATAGCTATGGGTTTAAATCAAGACCAGAACCCACTTCCATCAATTCATCAGGCAACCCCAGCCTAACGTGCAAATGAGGAAATCCTCCTTAGCAGGAATAAGCTGCAGAGGTTCCCCCATCCTGATTTTCACTTCACGTTTTGGATGCTACAGGCTGGGCGAGCAGAGATACCAGGCGCTGGCCCAGGGGAGCTGCCCTGCATCTGAGCGCTACCATGAATCACTTCCAGACCATCCTGACTCAGGTCCGGATGTTGCTCTCTAGCCATCGGCCGAGCCACGTGCAGGCGCTTCTGGATAACCTGCTGGCAGAAGAGCTCCTCTCCAGGGAGTACCACTATGCCCTGCTCCATGAGTCTGATGGTGAGGCTCTGGCCAGGAAGATCTCCTTGACCCTGCTGGAGAAAGGAGACCCAGACTTGGCCCTCTTGGGGTGGATCTGGAGCGGGCTGCAGGCCCCCACAGCCGAGAGGGACCCCAGCTACAAGGACCCTGCTGGTAAGTTGCCATCCATCCCTTTTTTCTCATGAAGCCATGCCTGGCTGTCAGCAGCTCCGGGCTTTTCCTTCTAATCTCTGAAAGGGAGATCCTCATGTTCGTCTCTGTCCCAAGCTGAGAAAGCAGAGTGGACAGGAATCAGGGTCTCCGGTTGAGCTGACAGGAGCAGCAAGTGCTTAGAGACCTCAGGCTGGGATGCCGAGAGCATGGGCAGAACAGCATGCCTCCCACTCTGCTTAAAAATAAACCATCCCGGAGGCACGCAGCCAAATGCCCACTGGGTGCACTCTCTGAGCTGCCTGGGTACCTTAGGCATGTGCAAGGCACTGGTGAAGGGCACAGATGGACAAAGCAGCCACTGTCTGCAAGTGGGCAAGACGGATGCTGGCACAATCAATGTATCTCAAAGCTGAAGACATAGGTTGCCACAGAGAGGAAGGGCTGAAGAGCTGGAGAGCAGAGATGGCTATGTGTGCACATGTGCGTGTGAGCGTGTGTGTGAGCACGGGTGCAGGTTTGTGTGGGCGTGTGTGTGTGCATGTGCATGCACGTGCCTGTGTGTGCATCCGGGTCATGGAGAGAGAGGGAAGCTGAAAGAAAGGGAGGGAGAGAAAGGGAAGAAGGGAAAGGAGAGAAAGAGAGGGAAGTAGACAGAAGGACGGAAGAAGGGAGGAAGGATGGGAGGAAAGGAGAGAGATGGAGGAACAAAGAGAAAGAGTGGAGGAGAGAGGGAGACAGAAGAGGAACCAGGTTGGAGGAAGAGAGTGTCTTGTTTTTAAAGGGTACTGCTGATTCCTGATGCATCTTAAAGCGGGAAAAAAGCCTATGCCATACCATTCCCACTCTCATCCTTAGCTCCTCAAACATTTTTGGTCTTCCTTCCCACTTGCAAGAAGCTTCTCACTTTGTTGCAAACAACAGTCTTCTTAATTTTTAGTTTTGGACATGCCACGCAGCTTGCGGGGTCTTAGTTCCCCCAACCTGGTGTGTTAAACCCAGGCCGCCCCCCCACCACCAGGCCGTGGAAGCGTGGAGTCCTAACCACTGGACCATCAGGGAATTCCCACTAAACATTCTTCCTAGACACCTACTTTTCAGCCTCCTTTACATAAACCTGTGCTTTCCCAATTTTATGAGCTGGTGTCATAACTTCTAGTCCTTGGTCCTTTTAAAGCTTTGGAGTAACTTGAAACTTGATATAATCACAATTCACATTTTACTGAGTATTTAGTTGCTTGCCAGGCACACCTAAGCCAGCAGGTTTTCTCACATCCACCCTAACCCTTTAATGATCTCCAGCCTTATATTACACAGGGAGAAAAGACAGAGATTGCCCAGAGGTGACCAACTCCAGTCCCCAAGCAGGAAGTGTTGAGGCTGGATTTGAAGGCAGAAACACTTTTGACTCAGTCTGGTCTTAAGGGCTAAACAGCCTCTTGAGGATTTTGCCATGGGCTCCAGGTCAGTGTAGGCATTTCTCCAACTCTTCTGCCAAGATATGTGTTTACAAGGGGTGGGTTGTCTTCCTGGGTGAATTCTCACCCCAATCATCTCTGTCTATTCCTCGGACACACCTTTTACTCTCCCCCTCCTAAAAGACCCCAGGGTGGCTGGGACATTTCTGTCACCTGAATAACCTCCCTGATTTCTTAATGGGAGTGCAAGCCACCTATGGGGTCTTTTTAAGAACTTTTTAATTTTATATTGGAGTATAGTTGCTTTACAATATTGTGTTGGCTTCAGGCATACAGCAAAGTGACTTGGGGATACATATACATGTAAGGGGATGACAGAGGATGAGATGGCTGGATGGCATCACCAACTTGATGGACAAAGAGTCTGGGTAGACTCTGGGAGTTGGTGATGGACAGGGAGGCCTGGCTTGCTGCGATTCATGGGGTTGCAGAGTCGGACACAACTGAGCGACTGAACTGAACTGAACTGAACTCTTTCTTCAGATTTCTTTCCCACTTAAGTTGTTACATAATATTGAGCAGAGTTCCCTGTGGCATACAGTAGGTCCTTGTAGGTTGTTCTTCTTGTTGTTGCTAAGTCATGTCTGACTCTTTGCGTCCCCTTGAACTGCAGCACACCAGGCTCCGCTGTCCTCCACTATCTCCTGGAATCTGCACAAATCCTTGTCCATTGAGTCAGTGATGCTATCTAATGGTTATCTCATCCTCTGCCGCCCTCTTCTCCTTTTGCTTCAATCTTTTCCTGCATCAGGGTCTTTTCCAAAGAGTCGGCTCTTTGCATCAGGGTGCCAAAGAATTGGAGCTTCAGCTTCATCAGCGTCCTTCCAAGGAATATTCAGTGTTGATTTCCTTGTCTGTTATCTATTTTAAATACAGCAGTGTGTACATTTCACTCCTAAAGATGCTACCAGAAAACTACTAGAGCTCATCAATGAATTTGGCAAAGTTGCAGGTTACAGAATTAACACACAGAAACCTGTTGCATGTCTCTACAATGAAAGATCAGAAAGAGAAATGAAAGGAACAGTCCTATTTACCATCACATGAAAATGAATAAAATACCCGGGAATAAACCTATGGAAGGAGGCAAGAGACCTGTACTCTGAAAACTGTAAGATGTAGATGAAAGAAACTGAACGGAACACACATAGGCTATGCAGTCTTGATGTAGGTGCAGATGCCAACTTCTGTAGATGTCAAGGCCTTCCTCTCTCCTTGACACACCCCCTGCAAACGGCAGCCTCCTCCACTCCGCTGGCTGCCCACACCTTTGCCCCTCCCTCTCGCTTCGAGGGCTGGTTCCTGTTATTAAACTCCGTTTCCTCCCAGGGGGTGTAATATATTTATTTCTGATGCCGTGTGACTCTAGAAAGGGAACTGAGCTCTGTGCGGTCTTCAGGAGGCTGGGAGACAAGGAAGGATAAATTGCTTCCTTGCCATGTTGCTCCCCCGCCACCCTCTTCCAGGCCAGCTCCTCCCAGGCCTGTGAGACTCCAGCTGTAAGGACTATGGGCAGGGATGCAGCTAGGAGCCACAGGAAGGGAGCAGCCTTCGGACGGGGACAAGGAGAACAGGGGGAGGAGAAGTGTATGGTTTGTATAAATAAAGGGCACTGACTTGACTTTCAACAGGGCTTCAGAAAAGGAAATCAGAGTGTGAAGTTTTTGTAACTCTCTCTACAACCCTATCATGATCTTCACCCTCTGCTGCTCTGTACTGCTTCCCGTGTCACTCAGAGGAAAGCTAAATCCGGGCGATTCCCATGAGGCCCTTCAAGATCTGGCTTCATCCCTGCTTTGATCCCACCCTATACCCCTGCTGTCTTATCTTCTCCAGCCATGCTGATACCCTTGGGGTCCCTGGGACAGGCCAGGCACACTCCCTGCCACAGGACCTCTGCACATGCTGTTGCTTCCATCTGAACACTCTTTTCTCCAGATATCCTCTGGGCCAACCTCCTTGAATCCTTTAGCTCTTTGCTCAAATGTCACCTGGAGGCCTACCCTGATCATCCTATTTAAATTTGCAACTCCCCCTCCACACTCTGAGCACCACTCCCCACACTCACATGTTTACCTTCGATACTCTTTACTTTTGTATTATGTTTGTTGTTTGATTATTTATTTAGTCAAGCTGCACGGCTCGTGGGATTTTAGTTCTCTGACCAGGGGCTGAACCCGGGCCCTTGGCAATGTGAGCAGAGTCCTAACCATTGGACCCCCAGGGAGGTTCCTTTGTTTGCTGCCTATTGTCTGACTCTCTCACTGGAAAATAAGCACCCTGTGGGGAGGGATCTATGCTTTTATCACAGATGTATCCCAAACACTTAATATAATGCCTGGATAGGTGTGCAATATGTGTCTGTTGAATATCAGACTACTGGATGGTAGGTAGATGGATGGGTGGGTGGGTGGTAGATGGGTGGGTGGCGGTGTGGGTGGGGGCATAGGTGAATGGTTGATAGGTAGGTAGATGGATGGGATGGATGGATGGATGGATGGATGGATGGGTGGGTGGGTAGGGAAGTGGATAGGTGGATGGGTGATGGGAGGGTAGGTGGGTAGGTGGCTGGGTGATGAGTGGATGAGGGTGTGGGTGGGGGCATAGGTGAATGGTTGATAGGTAGGTAGATGGATGGGATGGATGGATGGATGGATGGATGGGTGGGTGGGTAGGGAAGTGGATAGGTGGATGGGTGATGGGAGGGTAGGTGGGTAGGTGGCTGGGTGATGAGTGGATGGGGGTGTGGGTGGGGGCATAGGTGAATGGTTGATGGGTAGGTGGGTAGGTGGATGGATGGATGGTGGGTGGGTGTGTAGGTGGGAAGGATAGGTGAATGGTTGATGGGTAGGTGCATAGGTGGATGGGTGATGAGTGGGTGGGTGGGTAGGTGGCTGGGTGACGGGTGGATGGGGAGATGGATGAGTGTGTGGATGGCTTGTGTTTACCATTACTCTCACTCTACAGATGAGTACGCTGAGGCACAGGGAGGTGAGTGGTTGCCTCGATCATGGCCTGGGGAGGGGTGGTTATTAGATCTCATGGGCCCAGATCACTCGTTGCATTTTCTGGTTGGCTGCCTCTTTTGAATAACCCAAAGGGATACCGTAAGTCTACCCATAGCAGGCTGACCATCTTCAAACTGAAACCAGCCTGATGATTCAGAAGTCACCTTTGGATATGATGATAATGCTTCAGCTGCAATTGCGCAGGAAGCCCATCTTTGGGGGTTGGCTCTGCTGCACAGAACAGCATATGTCATCCAGCCCCTGGCAAGCTCAGAGGAGTCCAAAGAGTCTGGGCAGAACTCAGCTGCCTGACTGGGGACAGGAGTGACAAGCCCTGCAGGACAGTCAGAGGCCAGAAAAGAGAGATGTAGTGTGGCAGTGACGGAAGGAGAACTAGGCTGGAAGCCGAACAGCTCTAGGTCTGCGGCCATGCCCTGCTGCTTACAAATTGTGTAACCTCGGCCACGTGTCTGAACCACTCTGACCGTCAGTTTTTCATCACTAAAAAGGGAGTGAT